TTTTTGGCTAGAGTGTTAAGATTATTTGTTGGTCTGCTAGGCATGATAGGTGGAAGTGTCGCATAAGCAGATTAAGCAGCTTCCATGCGTGTGATATACACTGCCCTTCACTGTGGTATACTTTCCAACAAACCTTATATAATTATCCTCACTTTCTCGACTGTTACCCAGTTTAAGTTTCTTATCCTCTGTCGAACTATGAACATATCAGGTGTTCAACAGAATGGTGCGATTAAAAACCATTGTGCTGGCGATCCTACTATCAAAGAGAAAGTTGCAACAAAAAGCTGAACTTGCTGCTTTATTACGATAATGCTAAATGTACAATACTTAGTTTAACAAAACTTGCATAAATCAGCAAAGAAGGCCCGTAAAATAAACTTGGAAGATACAAAGATGTGAGAAAATGTGACTAAACCTCCCGGAATGTGCGATAAAGAGCCTTGAGAAGTTATGATGTAGGTGGGTGTGATTAGTTGAAAGTGATGTTATTAACGAATTCTTCGATAAGGATTGGTGCCTGCACTACCGTCACAATCATTCGCTGTTACACATTGGCCACTAGCATTACGATAGAATCCTTGGTTGCATTGACATTTTCCTGGTGCACAGGACTGGATACATATCTAAACCAACGATTACTGATAGGTGGATTCCCCTAGCAAGAAAGATGGGACTTACTGGAGATCTAACCGCGCAAGTTGGTTCACAGTGACTAGCACAATCTCTGTATGACTCATTGGTACCACAGCCATTGCTCTTGGATGGATTGTAGCACTCAGCTATTGGGTTGCTAAAATAAACTCCATCCCATTAAGTTTACTGATAGTCACTATAACATACCAAGGTGCTCTGATGCACTGGACTTGTCTGACTCTACATTCCGAACCGACAGGACAACTGGTGGCAGCGCAAGGATTGTAGGGTTCTGCAACAGCTCATTCAGCTTTGCAACAAATATGAAGAAATATCATGTTGGTACCTTTCGTGGCACCAGTAGCTATCTTGGATGTGGCTGAATTATTTGGTACGCATTGTGGTCTATTATTAATCAGCTGACATGTGGTGCCATCTCGACATCGCACATTATCACAGGTTATTGAGGGTTCTAAAATGCAGAAATAGAGAGGAATGCGAAAAGTGAGATTCTTGAATGAACAATCCTTCTTGGAATTTGTACATTTTTCTTGTGATAAGATAATTAGTAGGTTTTCCCTCTGGAGATATGGAAAGTACCTCATTTTTGTTTTCTACGGAAAAATTGGTTAATGAACATCTGGTGTACCGCAAAGAAGAATTTTTGAAGAATTAATTTGCTATTTATCAAAAAAAAAGCGAGATGAAAGCAAATGAACAAGTAATCTACAACGAAAACAGTTAGAGATTAGGAATCTTATGATTTATTCAACCTTCTCAAAGCTAGATTACTCCTATGGAGCTCTTAATTTAAATTGGAGGAAAAAGACAAAAGAATGGTGGCTGTAAGAATTTGGAGTATTCTTGGAAATGTCCCTTCTTCTGTATTCGCTAGGCTTCCACTTCATTTGGGATCTTGAAGCGTACTGTTCTTAAATGGTATGTTAGGCTAGCTAATATTTTGGAAGAAAGTGATGCTTGGATGAGTTACAGCTAATAAATTCACCAACCTAAGCACACCTCAGCTAAATCTAACATCTCACTCTTCTGCCAAATCTACTCTTAGAAATATCACAATGGATTGTGGAAGTTGCGAAGTTGGATTTGCGCAAAAGAGTTCTCTATGAGGTTTTGCTAACGATAACCTGCCTTACAGATTCAGCCTTTTCTGTGTTATGTAGCATATCTGGCGACTCACCTACTGACTGTTTTGAAGGTTTCACAAAGATAACGAAAATCAAACTAAAAGGTGCAATTGCAGAACTCAAGAACAACGATTAGAAACATTCCTAGCGATTGTAAACAAGGTGCACCAGGCATGCAATCAACATAGCCTGCTCGCAAAATTCCCCCGGTGGTATGACCTTGGTGCATTTCTCAAGTAGGTAGCAATAAATAGATCACTACGTGCATCATGCATACTGTTATCTTCGTCAAGTCAAGCTTGAGATGATCTAGGTGAATAAGTAATCACTTGGAACACAATGACACCAAACCAATTATTTAACTAAATAATTTGGTGATTTAACAAAAATGTAACCTGAAGGTGTAAAGGTTCTAGAACTGAAGACTAACGATTAGGAACACATCTTCCTGGTGGTTGTGGACAAGGTGCACCACGAATGCAGTTTACAATCACCTGCTCACAACGCTGCCCTGGAGGGCATGGCCTTGTCGGGCAAGTGTCAGGTACTAAAAGATAGAATAGTGGCGTTCATATATTTGTTAAATATAGGTAAACTGAGGCAACTGATTTAAGCAACAAATGATCATTTGACACAGCAGTTGTGACTAGAGCATATGAGTCATTTGTTGATTTGAGTTAGTAGTTTCATGTCGAAATAAAAGGTGCAAAGTAAATAAAGCTCAAAACCAACGATTAGGAACACATCTTCCTGGTGGTTGTGGACAAGGTACACCAGGAATGCAGTCTACAATCACTTGCTCACAAAGCTGTCCTGGAGGGCACGGCCTTGTTGGGCAAGTGTCAGGCACTAAAAGATAGAATAGTGTGCTTTTCAAACACTTGTGCTTTCATTTAGGAAAACTGAGGCAACTGCTTTAAGCAAGCAGATCAATTGACGCTGCAGTTACGACTAGAAGAATGAGTCATTTGCTGATTTGAGTTAGTAGATTTACGTTAAAATAAGTCAAGAGATGCAAATTCACTAAAACTCAAGACCAACGGTTAGGAACGCAATTTGCTGGTGGTTGTGG